AACGGGGCGGGGGGGGGGCTCATAGCTGTGGCGGGAGCAAAATCTGTGACACAAGCGTCTTGGACTGAATTGCAAGTCAGTTTCAGTTCATGCGGATTACCTCTAACCTATAAAGATATGAAATGAAATACGAATTAATTTCCGTCAAAACCTGTATGATCTAGTTTGTACCGATATGGACGGATTACCACTTCTGATGGTAACATATATACCGACATGCCGGTCAGAGGTCAAAAATAATGAACACACATTGTCGTGACACATGGCTTTGAATGCGTCATGCTCAAAGACATTTTTCTTAAAACACGAGAGACAGTTTAAACAACTTCAGTAGGCATTGAAAATAACGCTCCGAAGAAATGGGTTTCTTTTTTATGCTGAGAAATATGATTCTGTTTCGTGTATTAAAACAATAAAATAAACTCATGTGTTCCATTCGTTGAACGAACGAATGAAAGAACCAATACATAAACAAATTAATGAATAACTGGATGCAGGAGTGAATAAACAAATGAATGAATGAAAGAAGAAATCAAGGACGAACAAACGAATGAATGACGGAAGGAATACTTGGAAGAGTGAATGGATGAATGAACAAACGAACGAATGAAAATAAATGAATAAACATCATAAGCTGTTTGCGAAGATCATACCTGTTTCTCTAAGACTAGAAGCTATTGGTCATTAGACATAATCGGGTGTTCGAACAGCTTTATGCACTGTCGTACAAAGGTTGCTGCTAGTGCTGCTCAAGTACCATGGAGCCGCGGCCTGCTTAACTGCACCTCTCCCCGTCAGGGAACAAGGAACAAGGGTAGTGAAATCTTGTCTTGAAGGAGTTATGCGTTATTCTTCATTTGAAAATTAATGAATTCACAGATGAAATTAGAGATGAATGGATAAACGAATGAATGAGTAGATGACAAAACGAACGAATGGATAAATCAAATAATTAATAAGCTATGGAATGAGTTAATAAACGAAAAAGGAAATGAATCAGTGAATGAATGATTGTGAAACGAACAGACGAACGACCACATGAACGAATTCATGAATGTACGCATTAACAAATGAATGATTGAATGGATGAATAGGCAAAAGAGTGAAAAAATTGACGAATGAATCAGTGAACGAAAGAACGTACGCTAGAAAAGCTTGTTTATTGAAGCTGTTTAAGAGACCTATGATTTTGTAACTAAATCATGTGAAGAGAAGATGCGTAAAGTCGAATTCGATGAGAAAAAATCGAATACTATTAAAATATTACTAAAGCATATTTCTCGGTTATGCGCCCACCTTCGTCGCAAGGAGTGAGAGTATGTGATCGAAACATATGGACTCTTTTAATTGGATGCGCTATTGAAGAGGAACAGAAACATTTCACAAATCTGACATGTAAAGAAATTACCGTACTGCAGTTCCACTGCGCTGAACTGTGTACCTCAGCATAATGAGGATCAAATGACAGGACTATGTAAAGAATGACTCTATAATCGCAAAAGGCACACGTATCCCCCGTAGATGCGGATTTTATTTAAAAATGAGAGCGGTCTTGTTGAACGAAGTGGTGGATCACCCCTCGCTCCGTTCCGCAAGCTTCTAACATGGAAACTGACACATGCCAGTAATCGACCAGGCGGCCAGCGTGCAGCATGGGCAACAACGTGAAGGCAGATCTACTTCGAAGAACAGAACGAAACAGGGGAACACGGAATAAAAAGAAAAAAACGTTGCTCATCGAATTTCGTTACAGAATCAGGATCGAGTGAGATTCTGAACAAACCTGACAATCGAAACAGGAAATGACGCCATTGGAGATGTCGGCAAGCAGTCCGTTTTGAGGTTGTGAAGCGATGGTGCCGGTGTGCGTACAGCAACTGCTGGTGGAAACGCTCAAGAACTGCGAAACGGCGGCAGCCCGGTCATAGTCACCGACTGAGTCGTGCAAAACCTGAACTTCGGCTGGACGGGTAGACGGCAGGAAGAGGTCGCCGTCGCCGAGGCACGCGTCCGCGTCCCTCACGTTGGCGCTGGAGAAGTGCTTCACGGCGCGGATAGCGCGGCTCAGGTCGCCGGTGAGGTCGCCGGTGACTCCTGCGTATAAACGCCGGTGAATAGCGGTCATTACGCGTAAGCGACAGCAAATCATACACTTACGTCGCTTGACGACGGATGAGCACGACGATCGCGTCATCATTTGGCACATGCTGGTCTGCAACTGCTGGACTCGGATGCACAGTGCGTCGGCTCTGCGAGTGCTAACGTACAGTTCGTCGTTGACGGCCATCATCACCGACTCGGCGTGGCGACTGAGCACGTCCAGTTGAAGCATGAGGCTGACCAGCGCCGTCTGACAACGGTACAGCACGTGGGCGTGGTCGCGCGAGGCTCGCCCGCTTGAACCAGAGGACGATTCCGGCAAACGGCCGGTGATCCTCAACGGAGGCACGGATCGAAGCACGAACGGCATGGCGATCGCTCGACCGCATCGACCACGCGACGACTGTGACTGCGACCGCGACCGCGACCGCGACGCAATGCTCCTTTGTAACGGGTTTCGGTGTCACGCGAATGCCGCCGTACCGTGCGTGCGTGGACTCACAACTTCGTACTCCTGTCACTCGGCAACGTGGCACTGATCCAACTGCACGGACCGGACAACAGGTGTTCGGCGTGCGCAGCTCGGCGCGGCGAGCCTCGTTGGCCTGATTTAGACAATGCACTGCGTTTGGCTCAGTCGAAGTCCACGTCGTCTGACCACACTCGACTCGGCCTGTCGGCCAGCTCCTAATCGCCCGCCGTTGACCTGTGCGGTGGAAGCTAACTCAGCACTTTAAACGTACGGCCGACCGAAGCTTCGGCCAGCTTCCTTCTGACCATCGTCCAATTGCGTAATGTGAAGTACGGCCTAACCGGAGGTACAGTCAGCCGGCCACCAGGACGCTGTGCTCCACCGTTTCGCTAGCTCACGCAGCTGCGGTAGGCAACGGGGTCAAGAAACCAGTGGTGACAAATTATTTCAGAACAGCAGGTAAATTATTCATTGTTTCGTTGGCTGCCTGTTACACGCGCTAAGCGGTGATGACAGCAACCGAACGAATGCACGAGCGGCCCGGAATATTGACGCCTCACAACTCAGCTTTGACAGATAATGTTCACCTCAGCTATTGTTCTCGAACAGTCGGTCAGTGATTCACGCCTCATGGTGAATTTCCTTCAATTCATTCGTTGTTTCTCGCTTTCTGAGGCACGCGTTATCAATTTTATCAATAACACTACTTCGGAGTCATTAGAATCCGAACTACGAACTTTTCCATTCCACCAAACTTGAACTTTCTTATTATCATCAAGCGGATCAAGAATCTTGATGTCTATTTGAAAAGTACTTAAACAGGATTCGTCTCAGTTTCTAAGTATTGTCTCTTTTAATGAATTTAAGAAATCACTTGGTGCAATGTGACAGTAAGTGTATAACTTTCTAACCCTACGGAACGTTTCATGGCTCGATGCTATTAAGCGGTACGATGCTAACATGCGCTAATATTTGATCGGATTCTATTAAGATTTTTGTACCTGAACACACTGCTTCCATTTTGAAAGAGATTTATGAAAATAAACCACTTCTGTTGTCAAAGTTGAAGGCACGCTTTCTGAGTAGTTCTCTATTATTTGTGGTGTTCGCCAGAAAGGTGTACTTTCGTCTTTGTTGCTCACCAAAGACTCGTTCTTGACTTTCTTCTGCGAAACAGACCTGACGCTGGCAAAGACGATGGTCTCGTGCTAGAGCAAGATGCAGTTCAAGACATCCGGCAATATATCCTGCTGACCTGGAAATCGTGAGTTATTAGTAACCCATCCGACACAACTGATTTGCGAGTGGAATAAGGAAATGAAGTGCGTTGGAAGTAATTTAAGTATCTCGACTTCATAATCTCCATTGATCATAGTATCCATCCAAAGTTAAGTAAGAGGATCACCCTGGCCTCGAATGTTTTTGATAACCTGTCTAATATTTTGGCTGACAAAGGAAGGAGAAATGAGGTCCACCAAAATTTGCCTCGACCTCACTTCTGTCAATTTACTGCTGTTGTGCAGCATGGAGGCAGTTGTTCCAACGAAGCAACAAGGTCGAGGGTTGAACCGCTCAACGCTTGCAGCAGAATTGAATTCGACGTATAACGAGGGCTAACTGGCAGAACCACGTAAAGAACGAGTCTATTCTGTTGCAGGCACAGGTTACCTCAGTAGATGTGGAGATTAATTAAAGGAGGTTGGCCCTGTTGGACCAACTGGTTGGGCATACCATTTACTCCAGGTCGTAAATTTCTTACGTGGAAACCAAAACACTGCAACCGTCGACCAGGAGGACAGCATGCAAAGAACCACACGGAGAGTGGAAGCAGTTCACCAACTTTGAAGGATGAGGAACATCTACTTACAGTACTTCCTTCTGCGATACAGTAACCGGTGCGTTAAAGCAAATGCGTTGAAAAACTGCGAATATAGCGTACATCATAAAACCGCCACGTTTTGCAAGTGCAAAATGTCCTGCCAATGAAAGTGATGATCTCAACAACAGACACAATAGCAAGCTCTGGAAGTATTCGAAAAACCAGACGTGACAAATGGCACTGATGACAAACGTTAGAAGAAGGAACACGTGCCAAAAGCTTGCGATAATTTCTACAATTGCCGTGCCATACCACTGAAATTATCAGAAGACCTGGAGAGAAAAGTCTGAAGTCATTCCTATGCTGAAAGGTGCCATCGAAACAGTAAAAAGAAACCAGCAGTACCTACTAAAGTCAACTGATAAAGCGTTCAAAGTGGACGATCTGTAGAAGTCCATCCTGCAAGGAACAACCAGGGTTTTAATGAGAGTATCGCAACTCCCTTACTCTAGTACGGAGTTCACGCTGAAGTGATATTCATACCATTTATGTTATATTTTGTGGATTGTGAGTGAAATAAGAGTCTCGGCAGTTAATATTTGTTTTAGTGGTCAAACTATTTAATATCAGTCTGGCCAGCAGTTTTCTTTGTTAATAAGGTTTTTTTGGAGCAGTTTTTAACAGCACGTGTTGCTGCAGATCTTCTAGATTAATTAGTCAGATTGTGTCAGGAACGACCACGTACTCACATTACCTGAATTATAAGCAAACTGAATTGATCATAGGTCGAAGACTGACATAAGGCGATCAACTGCGGGTAGACTACCAGTCCTCACTGAATCATCAGTTCTTAACGTCGAAATATGATCAACGAAATATCGATGGCCAACACATCGCGTGGCATGCGAAACTAGATAAAAATCTATTATAAATAAAGATTATTCCTTCGTTGCTGTAGCAAATATTTTCCAATATCGAACTGTGAAACTCTGAGATGAGTAGGCATTTCGAATC